TAAGGTAATGGAGCGCCGAAGGCGCGACCATAGCGAGCTTGTTTGCCCGAAGGGCAAACAAACTCGCTAGTATATACATGTTCTTGGTAGGTTGTAGTACATGTTACAGGTTCCGTTCTACAGATGGGAATACCTCCACTGGATAGGGAATCTAAGTACAGTATATGGTACGAAATGATGATATAGAGCGAAAACCAGCTACTTCGGTTATATGTTGCTATCCAACTTACTGCCAACGTTGGCCCCACGTTGGCCCAACGGTCACTTTCACGTGGGGCCTACGTGAACAACCTACGTTGGGTCAACGTGGGCCCCACGAAAAATGTTATCTTGGTTAATGCCACTTGGCAAAAGCTACTGGAGTGCCTCCCGTACAGTTGGATATATCTTTTTACCAATGCGCTGATGAAGAATGTCGACCAAGGTTTTCATGCTCCTTCTGAGCGAAGGTCTTCCAGGGGCTGCACGCAGGAATGAGGAGTATGAAAGCAAGGATTGGACTACGATGACTGGTGTGGAGTGGATGCATGAGTGGTGGGAAATGGAACGTCATCGTCCATGATATTCTCTATCAAAGCAAATTTTTTATCCCGCCCATCAGGCGGAATTTCAGGCGTGTGACCAGATACAAAGCACTCACTAACTACATGAGAATTTAAAAATGGGCAAAAAGCATCAGCCACTTGCTCAAGTCTTTTTTCGATCCGGGTGTAATACCAACGAAAGCTCGTCCTAAATGCACCTGGATGCTAGAAAATGAGCTAGATAATGGTCAGACACTATATCACTACTTTTTGAGCTAGTTTCTCGAAATCAAGATGAATTGAAAGTGTGAAAACCATGTTTCAAAGGCTTTTCCCCTTTCTTCGACCCCCTACCCCTCGCCTCGATTTATTGCTAGTGGGAGAACGCTTTCTACCGTTCGCGACAGATGTCTCTCAGGATGCATTGTGGCTGTCCATGTTTACTCCTGTTTTTCCTGGCTGATCCCAGGACTGGGTTACGAAATTGATTTCGTTTCCTTTCGGAAGAAACTAAGAGTATTTCTTTTTCTTTTCTGTTTTCGTTCCTGCAATATCATTTTTGTAACGTTTCTGTTACCATTTCGTTATTTTAGTTTCTGGTCCTTTGGGGAATGAAACTGCAAGCGTCTAATCTCAAAGGTCAGATATCTCATAATCTGTTTTTTTTTTTTTTCAACTCCATATCACTCCCAGTTGCTATGGATGTCATCGATCGATACCCCTTGGAGGCTTAAGCACAAGGAGTTCATGATGAAGCGAAGTTCAGAGAAGAGTCTTTCCACGCTAACTTGTGTTGCGGGGATCGCCAAGACACACTCTTCAGTTTACCTCATCTGAGGGAGGTACTTTCCTTGCCTCTCCCATCATTCAAAAAACTCACTTTCCTTTCCAGTCCTTTTCAGCCTCAGTATGTACAGCTGTTGGTCTGCTGGTATTACTGTTACTGTCCACTTGCCTCCTCATGTGGCCACTCTATTGTGTGGGTCCTCTCTATAACCTTCATGTACACAGCTAAGTCATCCATATCTGAATCTGAGTTTTCCTTTGAACTGGAAGCCTTTCATTCTGGCATTCCTCTTGAATTTGAGCGTAAGATACAATCAATGTGGGCAACTCTTTCAGCCAAATGAACTACAGTGAAAACTCGTTAACTCGAATCCTGATAAGTCGAAATTCTGCTTATCTCGAAGTTCAAAGCTTGGTCCCGGCGGAACCCCGTAGAACACCATGTTAAATGCTCCGTTTAACTCGAATTCGCTTATCTCGAATTTCCGGATATCTCGAATGAAATTTTCACTCCCGATAACGAATTTCTCACGGTTAACTCGAATTCAGGGTGAGAAGGGGGGAAAAATTTTTCTCTTGGGACTTTTTAAAAAATACTTTTGAATAGGAGGAATGACAAGAAACACGTTCGGGAGGATGTTCTTTTGTTTTTTTTTTCTGCTTCTCCCTCCTCCCACACAGACGCCTGTGGCGAGGATTAAAACCGAGAAGCTTCGGCTATAAAAAAGCAGCCTTAAAAATTCTCTCTGTCTATCGCTCTCACTCCGAGCCATTCTAGTCATATTCTACTTCCTTTACGCCATTTGTGTGGAGTGAGCCCACTCGAGAGGAAATTGAAGGCTCTGACGCTCGAAGAGAATGTACACTTTATTCGGACTGGCGAAGAAGGCCATTTGAAGAAGAAAGGCATCGCAGAGAATTTCGGGATTCCTCCCTCTACCATTATGCGCAGAAAATATAAGGTTTTGAGTGCACATGAGAAGCGCCTATTTACAGCAAGTTGCAGGAAAATGAAGACAGCCAAGCATGGGAACGTGGAGTTCACACAGTGCCAATCGACTTGTTCGAGGCAGTAGGGAAATTGGAGGACTTTCACTTCTCTATTCCAAGTTCTTTTACAAAGCAAATGAAGATCATTGATTACATGTCAGAAATGGATAAAAACCGAAAGAGCCCCAGATGAAAGGCGTTGCAATAAATTAATTTTACATATGGAGTTTAAAAGTTTCACTCGAGATGAATAAAAGCTAATTATAATGGGAATGTCGTGAAATCGGATTTTTTATGGCGGAATAATCGCCCTCTGGTTATGCTCCTCACCGTGAGTTTGTTTTTTTTTTTTTTTGGGGGGGGGCGATTCCTGATAACTCGAACTTCGGATAACTCGAAACGATTTGCCCGGTCCCTAAAAGTTCGAGTTAACGAGTTTTCACTGTATTTCATTTTTGGCTTTCCGCCCTTCTGAGGTGCGCACTGAGTGATATCATGGATCAAGCAATATTGCGGCCGATATAAGACTTGATGAAAACAGGCAGCTTCCTCGATCCTATATGCATGGCTTCACTTTTGAGGGCAGAGATCCAAAGAGTCTGTCCAGATTAAGTTTTTGGTGGTTCAGATTTAAAAAAATTCTTCAGGAGTCATCTTTCTGCTAATTTGAATTTCTCAGGTGGATTCCACTGGATTGACACCTTAATCAAGGTTCTAGCATGATTAGTACTTCAGTTAAAGGGATACCAAAATCAGACGGTAGCAGGTGGCCCTAAATTTTGACTAACCAGTAGTATCTGACCTAATACCCCAATGAGGCTGAATATGTACATTTCTGAGATTTGGGGCATAAAAACCCTGTATAATAAACTTGATCAAAATCAAAGATGGTAGGGCGAATTTTTTTTAATGATTTGTCAAAGAATGACAGCCTATACCATGTCCATCGTCTTTTCTGGTATCGATTCTCTGCTTCAAGTCAGTCTCTCAGAGGCTAGGAGTCTGAATAATCTGTAAAAAACCAATTCATGCATCATATACTTGCAACATGGCAATTATTATAATACATAGTCCATTTTTCCTACCTTCCGCACAAGTTCTTCAAAGGCACATTGAACGCCTTCACCTGTTTTTGCACTGGCTTCAAAGAAAAGCGTAGAGTGCTTCCTAGCAAACATCAGTGCTTCCTCCTGTATAACGACTTGGCTTTCCTGCTGAAGGGAATCATTAAAATTAAAATTGTATTCCTTACAAAAACATTCTCGAAACTTTCATGCAAAACTAAGGTGATTCCTTCCTGCTAACTCCGAAAAATGATGACATACTCCACATATAAAGACTTCTGCTGTCTACAAAAACCACAGCAGGCATTACCCCGGTATTAGCATGACAGTGTTTTACTGAACATCAATGTATTGATGATATAAGGATGACACTATAGCTAATGTTATAGTGTGAGTTACACCCAACCGGCGTAACTTAATTTCGAAATTCCAAGTTGCAAAAAAAAATATCAAGAGTAGCAAAGCACACAATGCCAGCTCCATACTTGTGATGATCCATAACCTTATTGGGTCTTCATACGTCCTGCAGCAGGTTATGGTGATGGAGACACATTGTTGTGGCCTCTGGAGCCTGGTGGTTTTTTTTTCACCTGTTACTGTCTGAGATAAAACCTGGATTATCCCTAAAACCCAGTTGCAGTGGAATATAGGTAGAATAAGTCCACCCGGGGGTTGAGCAGTAGAACACACAATATAACAGCACTAATACTAGTATATGAGTAGCCTGCTCCTCTCCCAAATCCATTCCTCATTTACTTCGTGTCTCTTCTTCCTCCTCATTTACTTCGTGTCTCTTCTTCCTTGAGGTCTCACATCTTTTTACAGGGAACTATAACAAGGACACCATAGAGTTTGAGTCAAATTATGTCTTTTTTCAAAGGAGTTCAAATGTGTCTTGAAACTTGATAGTATCTCATCTGTACAGGTGCATGATGAGTGCCTGCCTAACCACTACAGTCACGCCCATAAGCATCCATTAGATAATGTCTTGAGCATGCCTGTCACAAGAACTTACTTTGAAGGGGTCGCAGCTCATGCTTTATGCATTTGGTTTCATTATTTCATTCATACCACAGAATGGCAGCAGCAAGAGGCATGAAATTATATCATCTTTTGGACAAAGACAAGAGAAATCCTTCACACATGACTTATTATGATTGACTTGATATTTCAGATCAAGATGATATTAAGAAAGGAAATAACTTCATATGACTATATGTGACACTTTTCAGGAGAGTACATGAGTCACTATCACTGTCAAATTCAACTTCATATCCATTGTTTTCATACAACAATGAAGATTAAGTGACCACTCCCATTCTCATCTCTACTAAATACTTGGCATTTTATTTCCTCTTTTCTGAGTTTTATGTATGAATTTTAAGTAGTGAGCTGTCTCCTCATAAAAGTTTCTAACAAGTACAGGCTTTTGGAATAAACTCACAGTAAACTTATACTGATCAAGATATACAGGGTGGTCCAAAAGTCTCCATACATAGAGAAAATACAAAATGTAACTTTATTCACAAAATATGCTCTACATGGTTGCCATTACTTTGAAAACACATACGAATGCGACTCTCCCATTCATGGTGAACTCACGTTAATACATCTGGTGTTATGCGTTATGTTAAAGTTACAATTTTTTTTTTAAGTGTTAATTTTCCCTATAAATGGAGACTTTTGGACCACCCTGCATTATGTGTCCATAGAGGGGATATAGCAAAATCCATTAATGTTTTCACTCTGTAATCATAACTCATGAAACCACATTCAGATAATAATTTTTGGAAGTAAGAGCCAATGCATACCTCATCAATTTTGTTGCCAATGATCACTTTGGCTACATTTGCCAGGGTGGAGTATGTCTCCACATCATTCAGCAATGCTTCCAAACTGGAAAAAGTTTGTCTTGATGTAACATCATAAACCAGGATTATTCCTTGTGCACCTCGGTGGAAACATCGAGGCAGGGAGGGAAACGTTCCCTGACCATGTATATCCTGCCATTAATAGAAGCAAACACTATTATACTATAACACTATAAGACTCATTGAAATTATGCACTGAATTATAAACAGAACTAGATCTCCACAATAATCATTTACAGACTTGGTGCTAAGGTTTCAACTGTGTATGGCTATTTCTATTCGTTCCTGCATGGCATTCACGTTTTAAAAAGCAATACTTTTACTCCAGAATCAGGGCTGCATGTATGGCATCAGGTTCACCATTGATGGGGACTCTTTCATTGAATGCCTAAAACAGACTATTCACAAGGCTTATCCCAAACGTCCTGGTTTCCTATACATGAACTGTGATGAAGAATATAATAGAAAAAAAGGATCAGTTATGGCAGGCATGAAACTATTTGCCTTATTGTCTCAGGTAGAGTGGCCTCATCACGTGCATGGAAAGGAATTAACAGCAATGACTGATATATAAGAACTAGGAGTATCATCATTTGGCAGAATCCAGATTATTGCTAAAAGCATGTCATGGTAACAAAACCAGTAAACCACAAACAAAACCTTTTGACTCCAGCACCATTAAACGTAAACAAGAGGTGAGAGGTTCCTTACCCATATCTCAAGATGAACTGCATTTCCATCCAATTTCAAAGTCTTTGTTCCAAAGTCAACACCAATTGTTACACCAATGCAGGGGTAAAACTCGTCACGAGTAAACCTTCTTAGGAGACTGCAAAAAGTGCATCAACAGATCAATGCAACAATTGAAAGGAAGATACATTGGTCTATGAGTGCCACATCACATTCCCAGAATTTCAGAAACCCTCTACCAAATGGGCTCTAAAAATTCTCTGAATGTGGGGAACAACTTACTTCCACGCTTGTCTGAAATTACTCTAAGTCAATTTTTATCACTGAGAGCTTGAAAGCCATTGGCACTAGATACCAAGAAGTTGGATATGACCTTGAAACACACCTACTTTTTCCCACATAGTCATTTCCAAGCATTATTATTTTCAATTTCTTCACGTTTCCAGGCATGTTTTCTTTGACCTTCAGAAAACTCAAAAGAGAACCAACACAGTGTAATAGCAAGAATATGAATAGGGTACTAGTTGGGCTAAGTCACAGATGACTTGAAGAATCTAAAGAATATATACATATTATGCATGTTGAAGGGAAAAAGTATGACAGCTACAATGGCAGACAAATTTTTTCTCCAAAAGTTGAGTTAGAAAATGAAACCACCTTTGGTTGCCACATTTTCCGACCAAATTAACCTATCATTACCTGAAGGATAAGTCAACTTCATTAGTTGTTCACCTTTCAAAATAAATAAAACTATACAATTAGGCACAGTAGTAACGTAGACAAGTCGAAAACGATAATTAACTTCCGAGCGTATCGTAGGGTAAGTGATACAAATTACCCCCTTAAGCTCAAAATCCGCCCCCTCACCCACGATTTGAAATAAATTTGTTTGGGATCCATGCCAATCGAGAGGAAAATCCAAACACTGCCATACACATTTAGAGACCAAGCATTGGTGTAATTTGGTTGAAAAAGTATGTTTGTACTTCTGATTGCGTTGAAATATGTAGCGTGGGAGCGGACTTTATAGCAGGGTCGGGATTTGTATCACTCACCCTACAGGCCAGCGGTTCCCAAACTGTGGGTCGCGAACATTTTCCCAGTATAAAAAATCACAACATCCACATAGGTTCGGATAAAACATGCCTAGCAGAAAAGGTCTTACAGTTTTCTTCCCGTCATGATTACTTTGAAAATACCTCATTCTGGATTCCGGTGGGTCGCGAAATTTTCTGTACGTAAGCAAGTGGGTCGCCGCTCAAAAGAGTGGGAAACGCTGGTACAGACGATTTCTCTCATCTACTTACAGTCAGGCTTTGGCCTACTAGTCCAAGCCTAACGTCAAGGTCCAGTAATCCAGGAAATTACAGGCCGGTAAGTCTCACGAGTATCCCAGGGAAGATCATGGAGAGCATACTAAGGGACCATCTCTTGGATTTCCTCGAAGGAAATGCGCTCATTCGGGACTCTCAACACGGCTTTAGGAGGCGTCGAAATTGTCTCACCAATTTGCTCGAATTCTACGACTGGGCGACGGAAGAGAGGGATAAAGGNTAGGTCTCTCGACACGTTCGGCGATGTTAAATTGGATGAGGCAAACGGAGAGAGAGATTTAGGAGTTTCTATCGACGAGGACCTCAAGTTTTCCTCGCACGCGCAAGCGACTGTGGCCAAATGCAACAGGATTCTAGGTTACATTCGTCGGTCGGTTGCAAGTAGAGGATCTCGCGTTATTCTTCCGTTGTATGCGGTGCTGATAAGACCCCAGTTGGAATATTGCATCCAGTTTTGGAGGCCTACAAATAAGGGCGATTTGTTGGCGCTCGAGGGAGTACAGAGGAGGGCCACTAGAATGATTAAGGAGGTTAGAGGACTATCATTACGAGAAACGTTTAGAAGCGTTGGGACTGTACTCGCTCGAATGAAGGTTAAGGAGGGGTGATCTCATCCAGGCTTTCAAGATAATTAAAGGAATAGATAATGTCGATTGCGGTAGGTTTTTCCAGTTTGATGACAGCAAGAGAACGAGAGGTAACCGACTTAAGTTGCGCAAACCGCATGTGCGGCTCAGGTCGAGACAGGAAATTTTTACTTGCAGAGTGGTGAGCGCGTGGAATGCGTTAGATGACGAAGTAGTGGCTGCCCCGCGCTGTGACTATCTTTAAGAAGAAACTAGATGCTTTCATGGACAGGCAAAAAGGTGGGGGGCAATATTGACGTTAGGTACTATACAGTAAGCAACTAGGATAGTCAAATAACAAAAACAAAAATACAAAAATATTTAGCTTTAAGAGGGTTAGGTCTACCCTAAAATTAAGGGACGCTCGACCTCGACACGTGATATCGAAATGGGCGAAATCGCCTCTTGATATCACTAACTATCCTGAAAAATCCTGAATCCTGAATCCAAGGTCCAATTTTTGGATAGAATTCACATCCCTGAAGTAACGAGCAGGCCTATGTAATTGTGATGCGATGATCCTGAACAAGTTCACTTTCTTCCGACCTCCCCATTCTCTAAGAGGGGCAGTGGCATAGCTACCGAATGTGCAGGCGGTGCGACTGCACCGGGGCCCACGGGCCAGAGGGGCCAAGACGTCGAGCTTTTGCGGCGTTTGCTGCGAGCCCCTTGGCATCGGGACGAAGTGAGAGTCAGCAGTCGAAAAGGAAGGTCGAAAGGAATGAAAGGAATTCAACCCAACACTGCACAGACATCTCGCAACTGGGACGCCGCTTCGTGTGGTTTAATCAAGTGGTGGTCACTTCCGATACCATTCACCCAGAGTCGGATTAAGGGAAGGCTCCCCCCCCCCCTTAATCAAAGGGCAACGGGGGCTGTTGCCCCGGGCCCCACTCTCCCGGGGGACCCTCGAAGGAAATTGAACACGTTAAGTATTTGCGTAAAGTAGCAGGGAGGGGGGGGCGACTGCCTCTCCACTGACCAAGTTCGCAGTCTATTCTATATTTTATATGTATTAATAGAAAGCACATAAGTTAATGTTTATTAGCTCCTGTGAAAAAATAGATATTCAGGGTTTTTACCCCAGACGAAAAATGCATTAGGCGAGAGGACAGAGAGTGGTGGTAGATGGGGGAGGGGGGGAAGGGCTATGAAAAATTTCTGTATCCGCTGCTGCCTTCCACTGACTTCAGCTACCGACGACTATTCATATGCTGCCGGAGAAAATCTATTATAAAAAAAATATGACTCCCATATAATTCAATAGCAAGAAATTGGACAGCGGGTTCCGTTTCATTCCTTGCACCAGGGCCCATGCCAACCACGCTACGCTATGCTATATGTATGAAGTGTGCATTTACCCAACTCAATGACACTGCCACCATTTGCGCGGGGAAATGCACGGTCTGAAGTTTGTGTCCTGCCCTCTCTTCCAGCAAATCAAGAAGGGTCTTGAACCAAGAGACATCCTCACGTACATACTTGGAGAAAAACACTCTTTGTCTTCGGTGATAATATATTTTCTACGGGTCTCGAATTATCCCCTTTGATGATGTGATCTGTATACAGGACGTACCTACCTACCGCACCTACAAAAAAAGCAAAAGTGTTGCAGCACGAGCTCTCAAATTGTACACAGGCATATTGGATATGGCTTGGGAGCTCTGCGACCAGTGTGGAAGATGCTTCGCAGACGGTCGCAGCTTTATTCCTTTAGTTGTCCCGTTTCCAATGATCTCATATTTTAACATAAGAACGATTCCCAGAGTGATTCACAGGTTAAAAACTAAGAAATTATTCCATAAAAAAATAGACTATTGAAACTATTAGAATTTGTATTTTGCCGTACCATGCTACGTGTTGACTTAATTTTTCTGAGATTTTCATCCAACTCTTCACTGTCGAGGATTTTTAAATAGCATTTCCTGTGGCATTCAATATCTCACCGCAATCTCAAAGGGAACAGGAAAAGAGGTAAGATTTTTTTTATATTGAAAAAAAAGTTGCAGTTGCATAGACTCATTTTGAGAGCAATTTTAAAATTTGCGTTTTACCAGCACCTTCATTACACGATTCCTGAGAGTAGAAATATTAGAAAATACTGAACAGAGGGACTACAGATGATTTTCCATAGTAGTCCAAAACTGAGTACTCTTCCCAGCGTAACTCTGTCGTGACTAAATGATGCAGCGAAATGGTTGTGAATGGGGACAGGTGTCGTATGATATTTTTCCCTCCGTAATATTTTTCCCCACCTCCCTTAATGGAAATGAAGGGAGTTCGCCTCGTTCCTCGGCGGCTATTTCTTCCGTGCCTTTTAGTGTTCCTTTTATGCCTCCATCTGCCTCGCTAACGTCTAAGCCAGTGTTGACTCCTCAGGGTGATCTTCAAAGCCACATAAAAGATTTAAGCCCCCGGAGGTAAAAGGCAAATGAAGGCATCTGACATGAATGCAGGGAGGAATGAACATCGTCCTTTGCAT